TTTCTTTTTTCTTTTTTTTGTAACATTAGCTTTAATTTTTTTTTCCGTTTTTCCATTATCTTTAATGTAAACTTATTCTTATGATGAGTTGTTGATTAGTTGCCATTTATTTCTGTAATTACCTCAAATGTCATTTAATTCGCCTATATCCAAAAGACTCCTGCCAATTTTCAGAGATTTGTTTTACAAGGTCAGAATATACATATGCATGTGTATATAAATACACAGAGAAATAGATAAAAATCAATTCACTTCCACTTAATATTATTTCTATATATGTACAATTAAATTATTTTAATCTCTAGTTGCTTGAATTGTTATCTTGCATAAGAATATAATCTTTCATTGAACATGTATGAAATATATTACATATATTATTTGCATTTTATATATATATGTCCCACTTTTCAGAATTACATAGAAAACATTGAAACTGGAAATGAAACGCATTTTAAGGGCTATAAAAGTGAGAGGACAAATAACACCCCATCATTTATTATATACAGAATTATCCCAAATTCTGTGACTTTAAACCAATTCAGTACTCAAGTAAAATTTATTTTATCTCTACCGGTGATCTTAATGAAGCATAAGAAAGACCTATTGGCATTTAGGTCAGTTTTTGGAGACTTTGATTCTCCAAGGGTTTCATTCTTGTTTTGATCACAGGTTTCTCCTGCCTCAGTTCTTCACTTGTGAAATGGGGATAACCATCTTTTCTCCTCCTGGCATGAGGTACTCTGTGAGAGTATGCAATCACAGATATTTTATACTAGTGCAAGAAATGTGTATAAACATTTCAGAAGGAGGCAGACAGAGGAACATAAAGTGTGTTAAATGGTTACTTTCTGCTTTGCCTTATAGACTTACTTTTTCGTGTTTGCTTCTTGCTTCTGCCTGAAATGTTGCTGAAGGGATATGTTTCTAATTAATAAGAAGCGAGTTTTCTGGTTGTGGCTCAGCATTTTAAGCCTAGCTATTGCTCTTATTATTGGTCAAAACCACACTACGTACCCTTGGGAAAAATCTATTTCAGACTTTAAATAGTTCAGATAAAGTTCATTTTAGCTTAACCCATTTTTGTCACTTCTTCATGGTAAAGGCTTGGTGTGTACCAAGCAAAGTATCCCAGAGCCCAGATGACACAGTGGTGAGTGGAGCACTCTGCCAGTATCTGCTTAAGGAGAAGAATGTTCTCTGCCCACTTATTGTTATTAATACTTACCTTCCTCAAGGACATATGTATTCAGAGGTTACACGAGATGTTGAGTGACTCAGTTTTAGGACGCTCTGTTAAAAGGGGTTTTGTTTTTGGAAGTCTCTGTACCCTCTTCCAGTAAATATTGCCATTTCCTTAATATCCTTCCTTAATCTGGACATACTGGACATAAAGGACATGACTTAGAAATGCACAAAGCCATGTTTGAATCCTCCTTCCTGCTTCAAGAACCACTGGCTCCTTCACAGACTTTCTTGCTTCTGTCCCAGGCTTGTGCCTTTGTCCCCAAAAAGGGACTCCATGAGTGGTGTCTCTAAGCTTGGCAATAAGGCATTTATGACATCTTAAAATAGCGTCTCATTTTGATACTAAATGCAACAAATTAAAAACTGTTTTCAATCGTTCTTTTTCTTATGGTAGAATTTGTGTAGGTAACAGAAACTGTGATGCATTTAATTCTCTACAGGAAGTATTTTTTTAAAAATGAAGCAGCAGATTAGATCTGCTTTCTGTAAGCCTTCCTGTAGTACACTAAAGATGTGGCTCTGCTGTAAAATGATCCAGTTTTGAAAAAGAGCACTCTGATATTAGTGCATTTTAACACTGCTTAATGGGTTTGTAATTGTATTCAGCATTTTAACTGGAAAGCAGGAATAGGAAGTAGGTGGGAAAGTATGCCCATGGAACCCTCCCTCTTATTGATCATTCTGGATCAAAACCCAGAAGCTGAACAGAGGTGGGGGATCCGGTATCAGTGGACAGGTAGGAGACACCAGGACATTACTTAACATTCAAAACTTGCATTTTGAAACCAAAGCAGCCGTGAATCTGCTGAAAAGACTGAATATTTTAACACACATATTCTGCTCATAAAAACATTTACTTTCACTTGCCAGTGCTGTCATTTTATCTACATTAACAAAAAACATTATGAATACAAGTCAAACGGGCTACTGCAATAAATGAAAATGGCAATTCCATTTATTTAATTGGCAGGTACCCAATGTCTTTTTATTCTTACAATGAAACAGCTGGGATCTTGTAAAAAGTAACAACTGCTGTGTAATAGCTGCTACATGATATCATAGGTTTCATAGGAACAAGACAGAAATTCACCTGGCAGAGAAGAGATGGCCAAAATACAGATCATTAAAATACAAAATAAAGATCCGCAATATCCTTTGTCATTCCTGCTCTTTGGGGAATAATTTTCTGGATAACAGAGTCATTATTTCAAATATTACTTAAAATAATTCAAGATCCATTCTGTCGCTGTTAGTCCTGATGAATAGCATGTATTCCATAAATAGCTTCACTGTTAGAGTCTGGGGTCCTTAGTCCTCACACTTTTCATGCTGGTTCATTATTCATCACAAAAATTGCTTTATTGATCAAAGAAATTGTTTGTTGAGTAAAACACTACTCAAATTATTGAGTAGTATATTAGAATTTGTTCATATTGTTTAATTTTTTTGTGTGATTAGGTCCCCAATATTCATGATCTGGGTTTTGATAGGACAACTGGAACTATTTTTAGCAAGATGGCAGAGAAGGATGAATACCAAATGCTACATAATTAAAGATATTGCCATACAGATAAATGCAAAGTATTTTCATTTTCCTTTTGATACCCCAGCCTGCCTCAAATCCTTCAAGAAAGAATGGTTAGGAGGTTGCAAAGGTGACATGAAGCAAAGACTAAAAAAGAGTTCTGAAATTTTATTCTCCAAAGACCTGTGACATTTTGGGCAGCTGCTGAAATACCTGTTGTGGTTCTTGCCCAGTCACACAGTATATTCTTTCTTGATCTGGAATTTCTGACTATACATTTGGGGGTCTCTGTTGTAACAGGGAGCAGGCCAAAGCATTTGTGTATCCCTACAAGCAGCATCACAGACAGCAACAGTCAATATCATAATGCTTTTTAAATAACCAGCCAGAGTCAACACTGCAAGCATCACCTGCCAATACATTTCTGTTGATGTCAGGGAATTTTTTACTGTTCTCTGGATATGGTTATTATTCACACTAGGACATTTTTGGCCCACCTGAAGAACCCTAGGCACATGTGTGTTAACAACAGCATAATGAGAAGTGATATTTTAAATAAATTCATAACTTTTAAGACCAAAGGGAGTGTAGGGTTATATGGACTGATTTCCTATGCATTAAAAACCATAATGTTTTTCCCATAAAATTCCCTTTTTTGAGCTTAGTCACTCGTGTGTGGACAAGCATATTCTTCATAACTCCTTTTTTCATGGTTTTACTAGCCACATTTCCAAATCTAGGCTGATATTTTTTTAATATCTAATTTTGTCATCTACAGTTGGACATCAAAACACATAAAATGTCATCTTCTTCAGTCATTACCAAGTGTTGAAACCAAGCAGGACAGTACTTGCAGAGCAAAACAGATGGTGCAGATGACCCTGCATCTGTCCCGTACACATTTTGGGGATGACTACTTTGGACTAGCTCTATGTATGTTGAATGAATGTGCCCTGGGACTCACAGCACCTGATGTGTGCTTCTCCACCACATGTTCTGTGTTTGTTTTATTTTATGTAAAAGCGAGGCCAGTCTTGTGCTCAGAGATTTTCCCATAATATAAGGCAAAGTATAGTAAATGCAAATGATTTACTTCAAAAACACACTCCTGAAGTGAAGGAGAGGGAGGGTGGTTGAAGTAATGAGATTTAAGACCAGTATTCATCAGTATGAGCCTGTAAAAGACCTTGAGAACAGAAGAAAACCAAACAGGTTGCAAATTACGTAATGCCTGAGCATCCTGTCAGGTCTGCATTAGTATAATTGGGTTGGAGCATAGAGTTTAATGGCTGACAATTGTTTAGGTATGACCCCAAACAACATGTGCAATGAAAACACAAGGGAAAAGTGAGTTATCCTACTGCTGGTGTGAGCATTTTACTTTTCTAGTGTTAGATCATCTGCTTGTTTTTCAACCATGCAAAAGACTTTAACAACAAAACTGAACAGAGTTGGTTGTAGGAATCCATAATCAATATTCAGCAACTGTTTTTAAACCCTGTACTTCTGAATGAGAGTATCCAGCTCAAATTTTTAAAAAGGAGGACTTATTCATGGAAATGTCTCAGAACATGGACAAGCAATTAGGTTAACTTTTGCCAAAGTCAACAGAATGAAAGGAACATCTTCCAAAACCAGATAACCACACAAATAACAGCAAAGCCAGAGAGCTGCTTCAGTGGGAAAATGTATGTTTAGCTGCAAATGACTTATATCAGAGGATACTAGATTCCCTGACAATCTGTATATTCCCAACTGAGGTGAACTAAATAGTCTGTCAGAGCTACTCTACTGACAGAAATTGTATTAAACTATCCTTAGTGCTACAAGTAAAATGTTATACTCTCCCCTCCTTAAGGGTTTGGATGCAAAATTGAGTTAAGGGGGTGAAGCAAGTTGTCAGCCAGTGGATGATAACCATAACTGCTCATAAATGTCTGTATCAGTTTTAGTCAGTTTTATTTGCAATGTAGCGGGCCTTAATCTAAACTTCAGAGAAAGAGGCCAAATTATATTAATGTTCATTTGGTCAGGCTAAGATCAGAAATTCACTGCAGTGTGTTCTGCAGGCAGTAAAGCCTCTTTAATGCTGTGTTCTGCATGCTCCCTTGTTGTGGAGGAAAAATTCCTCCTGAATACCAAAATAGTTGTGCTGTATAGCTGCTGAAAAAGCTTATTCCCACGGGATGGGAAAAGGTTAAACTTTGTTGCTAATAATCCAAAGTTAAAAGGCCTGGCAACAGTGTAAAAATCAATAAGAAGCAGGAATGCCTGTGCAAAGCAGGTAGGTGACCCCTGAGCTGGAGAAAAGGCATTTGGGTTGCCCACAGCCGGCACGCAGGCTTGGAGAGGGTGGGATTTCAGCACAACATCTGTTTGCTCACAAGAAATGCCAGTAACGTTTTGGGAAAGTCTCTTCTCTTGTGCAAGAAACTGCAGGAAAACAGAAGAGACACAGTGTTTGGAAGAGACAGACATGGCTGATGTGACATTTGTGGGGGATGCATCCTAATCCCTGTGGAGGCTGCAGCACGTGCCAGAGAGAGCTGCAGGCCCAGACAGGCAACTGGTGGAAGCGGGTGAGAAAACAGCCAGCCGAAGCAGGAGCACAGCAACCTGCAGCTGAGGAGCCTGAGGAAAAGTGCTGCCATCAGACTCTTGCCTGTCTGGGACTGTTTTCTCCCTCCAAACCAAAGAAAGGCAGTGTGTTTTCAGATACGTAACATCACAGCACCTGATATCACCCCCAAAGGGTGTGCAAACAAGCCCTGCATGAGTGCTACAGGAACAGATGTTACTGCAGCAGCACATCTCCAAGCAGAAGTAGGAGGCAGGTTCCTGCCTTAGCACTCACGAGCTCTATTTCTCTGTACTAGTTGCTCTTATTTGTCACTTTGTCCTCTAGAATTTGTATCCCATGTGTTTATATGATTTTCCTAAAATAAGAACAAAACAGTGCACTAATGTCAGAACTACAAACACATGTGTGTTTGTTTTCTTTTGTAAATTTTATTTATAGCGTGAAATTTGGCACTTGCAAGTATTTGAGTTCTCTGATACCAATGCCTAGTTTAAAATTTGCCTGTAAACTTTGTACTTTCTTTCAACTTTTACTTGTAGCTAGGAGACAAATCAATTTTTACACTCAAAGGCTAAAGTAAAAACAACCAAAAAACCACCATGTCATCTTGATAGGAAACTATTAATTCTTGTATTATTTTCTCATTCAAAGGAAAAAAGAAGGAAATTAATCCCTTCCTCCCAATAAAAGATATTGGGCAGCTTAAAAAAAAGTGAAATATTTATTAAAAAACATATCAAAAGAAAGTTTCAACTCTTCAGTAGTTATTCTCAGTTTCTTTTGTTTAAAACCATGCAATAAATTCATTTTACTCAAATTTTGACAGTCTCCCTTTATTGAATGTTGGTATAGTATTTCTCATATCTTTTAGACATTTTTCTGACAACATTAAATTTATAATGTAGGTAAATCAAAAGACAATTCTTTTCTCAGACCTTTATGTTGTAGAATAAAATTGGTCATCAATCAAGTTAACTAGCTACCTTTATTTGAGCTAGTTCAATTGCTGGACTCATTACGAAAATACGTAGAGTAAGGAAACAGGGCTGCCCTGCCTGCTATACCCTTGTACTTCCTCTCACCAGCTGGGAAATTGAAAGTGAGCTCCACATGTAGATTACAAAAAATAGTAAGGAAAAAAAAAAAAAAAAAAAAAAGCTTAAAAAGAAAAATCCCTGTGGGATAAAAACTTAGAAGGTGAGGCTCAAATGAGATGAAGGCCAGCCCATAGACAGTAATCATACTGATTTTCAGTGGTATTTTCACTGTAAAACAGTTGCTTAAGTCTTCTGTAGCCTGCAAGATCAATTGCTAGATCAGAGCAGTGCATAAAAGAAGATTAATTGCAGCTGGTGCTGCAGCTTGGGGAGCAGCACAGGAAGGATAGGCATGTTGAAAGCAGCCCTGGAGCTTCCTATTGCAAGGTTCACAGACAGGAAGGTCTGTCCTGATGCTCGTCCTTCACTCCTGGTGGCCTTTGCCTGTGCCAGAACAAGTCAGTTCTGCCAGTACGCTGTGCTGCTGTTGCTGGCACACAGTGTGGCCCTGATGGTAAGGAGTGATGCTGCTTCCTTCACTTGCTGTGGGTCACATCCCCACACTGCATCACATGATGACTTCCTATTTCCCATTAAGGTCGCAATTTTTAAGCTACAAAGAAAAGGCTACATAGGCGTATGCTAACCCTGGCCTCTAGACAGTTACGCTCCTTCTCTCTGCCTCTCAGCTAAAGCTCCCTATTTCTGGACGTAGGCGGAAGCATTTTGAGCCCTGATGGTTCAGAGGTAACTCAATTGAATGTTCTTAAGCAAAAGCAAACTCTTGAGGTCTTTTAGTTCAGCTAGTTGCCTATACATAAACATTCAGAAAATCAAACACAAAACTCTTAACACCTCATAATCGCTTCCCCTTATCCTTCCAGCACTTGAAAGCCCCAAATCTGGGTTGTATGGAAGGAAAGGACAGTGTTGACAGAAGTGCATCAAAGAAACAGCTGTACCAAGAAGGGGACATCATAGTATGCTGATTTTATTGCAGCAGAATTAAAAGTAAACAGGTGGAAATGCTCCAGGACAGCTGAGAACCCACCCCTAAGGAAATATCTGGGCTGGAGGGCAGGCTCTCAAGAAAAGGTAAGGAAGGCAAAACACCTGGGCTGAGATGTTCACAAGCAAGTCTGACCTTGGTGAGATGGGAAGTGTTATAGGAAAAGCAAGCAGGTCAAAAGAAAAGGAAATGTTATGTGTGTCTCATGTATTCATTTTATTATAAATGTAGTTACCATGGCAGCTGCAAGTAGTTTTGGGGTTTAGGCTTCTCTACAGACATACAGGCATCTTTTGAACTTCCCTCTTTTTTGAATGCCATATCTGTCTCTAGGAGGACAGGTGGAAAGCTAACTCATGTTTCCTTCCACGAGCAATATATTAGTAATGAGAACAACAGTAACAAAAGTAGTATAAAATCTCCCTAGAAGCATGATAGTATTTTTATCTTTTCTTCCAGAACATCCAACCCAGCCCTCCCACTTCAGCCCTACAGATTTCATGAGGAACAGACTGGTTTCTACATAGTTTCTGCTATATTCCCTCCTCATGTTGGTCTTCTAACTCATTTTTAGAGTAAGAAGAGAAATCCATCAGCATTCATTCATATCTCTAGTCACATCATTTAACTATTTCGCTCACCCAACAGCCCTCTTCTTCACACTCCTCTTTGAACTCAGGACCTTCTAACATGGTTTGAGCTGACCTGGAGAAAAACGATGGATGGGGTGTAACTCCCATACTGAGCTATGCCTGTTTGAGCCCAGCTGCCCACAGGCAAGACTAAGGTTTCATAACGAGGCACCCAATCACTCTGGCCAACAGAAGGTTATGGCTATAAGATGAACTCCAAACTTAAAACTTAACAAGAATCACTGGTACTTACTTACCCCTAAAGAATCTAGCTTCTAGAATAAAATCAAAGAATTGCAGTCTTAGCTGCTTTTATCTGAGTGTAAGTTGAGAGAGTAGAGAAAGAGAAGTAATATGTGACAGAGTCTGCTTTCTTTTGTGTTACATCTAAACTGACTCAGGATAATACAATAAACAAGATAACAAGACGAAAGTGAGCTTGAGAGGGCTTCTTTTCCATTCCCTGGTCCCAAAGGAGACTCAATTACTTCTAAACCATTCTTGAAAGATGCTGGACAAATCTGATCTTTACTATGGATGCCTGGCTATTCTCAATGCACCTATGGTTTCTAAGTAACTGTAGAGGGTTCTAGGCTATTAAAAGCAAAGAACAAAATAGGAAAGTCAGAATATACTAAGGTCAGTTCAAAGTAGTCAAGTATTTTATTTGCTAAGGATTACACTTAATTTTCATTATATTTTCAATTGGTTTATTTATTAACTCATATGGTGTATTAAAAGCCATGGAGTAACCCTTGCCTTATGCTGAATCATACCTTTTCAGGGCTTACCCTGTTCTTCCCAGGAAAAAAAAACCCAACAAAACCACTTTTCAGCAAAGTCAACTCAAGTAAGCACTACTCATTCTCTTCAAAGATTCTTTTTTGAGTCACTTTATTTACTCACTTTACAGATTAAAAACCTTTCATAACTTACATTAACAGAAGAGTGGGCACTGTGGTAAAAGGCAGTTTGGAGTAAAAAATAAATGAGCAGTGGATGAAACTACTGCAAGCCACTGTGTCCCAAAAGGGCAGCCTAAACAAATGTGTGGGTTTACAGCATCTTAGAAACTGGACACTAACTCCTAGGTGAGCTTGTACTAAGTAGAAGAAAGATGAATAACTCCACTTTCAAAGCCACGGTTTTGCAGGGAGCACACTGTCTTTCTCCTCCTGAGTGGGAAAAATGCGTATCTGGCACTATTAAGAGTTTCCTGTCTACACTACTGAGTGCTAATTTCTCTTACACACACCCTCTTAATACACACACCGTCAGAATCCAGCCACTAATAAATAACTGTAAATTGGTAACGTTAATTGCTGAGGACTCGGGCGTTGTAGTTCTCATCATGCTTAAAGGAAAAGAAAAAACAAAAAAAGTAAATTAACTCTCCTGGGGTCTCCCCTCCCCAGTCAAGAATGTCAAGTTTTCAGGAAAAGGAAGCATGGCATTTGCAGACTCAATTAAATTCAAGCAGTTAGAATTCCTCATCAGCCCCTTTGGATTTGGAGAAATACCCAGTGTTATTTTACAGTATACTGGAGATAAGAACCTAAATGTAGCTCAAGGGTAAATGAAGCTAGAAAGCTGGTAGTGCTGTATATTGTGTGGGCTTTCTGTGTCACACCAAATGATTTACAGCTGTTGCATGAGGCATACATGCTTACTGCATTGTCTTTTCGTGACCAGAATATTCTTGCTTCACAGCTTTGCAGCCCGCAAAGTATTTCCACATGTTTGAAAAAAGGAGGTCAGATATCCTGTGGAGTTCTGCTCCTCTGCTCTTCTAACTGCAGTTCTGGGTTCATGGTCACCTAAAGACACTTGTATTACATTGGCTGTACATATATTAATGTGATAATTATGATGTAAGGTCATTTTTGCCTTTTTCTGAACAACTGTCTAAATCTCATTCTTCCTCATCTTTATGTTTCCCTCCTCTCTCTGGATAAGTTCATTAAAGACAAAAAGTTTTGAGTTCTTATTCCTCCCATGGAGAAAAGTTAGACAGTTCCTTTAATGAAAACAACCACTGCATGGATGCTACAAAGTCTCAGCTTCCATAAGGAAAAGAAATGTGACAAGCATTATTTCAGCAGCATTGGCATCAGGCCAACAATAATAAGTCTGCAGTTCCCAGTGACCTCTCAGTGTGCTCCAAACTAAGATTATTTCATATTATCCCTCTCTCTATGTATCCTTGACAAACAATGCAAAGGAAAGGCAGAGATTTAACTTTGGGAAAGGCCTTGTATATCAAAAGTGAAACAAAGGCTACTTATCTAATATCTGCTTCACAGGCTTCTGATAGAATTGACATTTGGAAGATGGGGTAAAGAAGGGGGCAGAAGATGTGGGCTGGTGTATGAATATTACCTGTAATTTTGGAACTTTTTACCGCCTTCAATCTGTTCCTGGAGTGTTTGGAAGTGTTCCGTGGATGTTGTGAGTGATCTGTGCATTTTTTATTAAACACTTGTTGCATGGCTTTCTTTGTCGGCAAACAGCTAGATCAATCATATAAGCTATCTCCTCCATATCTATGTTTCTATTGACTGTGGGTTTTTTTTTTTTTTCCTTTGGAGAAGATACCTGAGCCATGATTTCAAATGGGGAAGAATTATGCTGAAAAATGCTTTAGAAAAACTAAAATGCTAATGTGCAAGGAAAATCCCCCTTCTGGCAGAGTGAAGGATCCATGAACAATACTAAACACATGAGAAAACCCTGCATTATTCTGTCAACTTTGCACAAAACAGGTACTAACTTTTTGAAAACAAAATGCAATATTTTTCATAAATGTAGATGAACACGATGTTTCATCATGTTTCTTGGGCTTGTCTTCCTCTGTGTCTGCTAAGATGTAGCAGACACAACCCAGTGTCGCTGTTGTCCCAGTCATTGTTGCACCATGTTATTCATTGAGCACAGGAGTGGGATCTCTCAGAATTATGTGACTGATCTCACAGATACCCCTGCATTGCTCAGCCACTGCTCTTTTCCACTATAAAGGGTGTCCCTCTGTCTGTTTTTCCCTCTGCTCCTTCACTGAGCTCACAAACATGCATCCACACCCTGCCATCCAGAACTCAGCCATACTGGGAAGCATGGCTGTTCCCAGTGGGTTGGGATGTCAGGGACCCCATTGGGAGACCATGCTTATGAGTGACCAATCAACAGTAAGGGATACCATGGATGGGATGCACGAACTTTGTGTGTGCTGGAGTCTCACTGAACAGTGCATGGTGGCATGCTAGCACCTGCACGAGGCTCTTGAACCTGGTCACGATGACCCTGAAGCAGAAGCAAACAGACAACCCAATTATATAGCAAAGAAGCACGAGGTGCCAGCAGAACGGCTTGACAAAAGTATTCTCCTTCCTGTGGGATAGGAATGAATATCTGTATGTATCAGTTGCACCATAGGTAAATATATTTGGCATCACAGAAAACTCTTTCCAAAGAGGATTCGAGTGCCATGCAAGTCACAGTAAACACTGGCTGGGGAAGCAAGGCATCCTAATGAGAAGCATCTCCAGTTAACCTTTCAACAAGTACCTAATGCAAGTAAGTCTTTAAATATAGTGTGTAGCCACCTTCTCCAGAGCAAACACAAAGCTTTGTGACAGAGTATCATGAATGTGGATGGCAAGAAGATAGTGGACTTCCCAGATGAGAAAAAATGCACTTCAAAATAAGAGCATCTTACAAAATTTGAACATTTCTATTATTTTAAATGGGGGCATATTTTTCATTAAAATATCTCCAGTCTTAAACTATCTCTAATAATCATTTTGTGTTTATTTTTAAATAAGAAAACATCAACTAGGTGAAATGGCTGTCCTTGATGTCTTCATCCTAGTCCATATCCTCCCTGTATCGGCCAGCTCAGAAAGCCAGCAGCTGCTTAATGAAAAGGAAATGAAATTTTCCTGTTAGCAGCTTCCTTCAATTCAGGGAAATGGGGACAAGCACTGAATCTGCCTCCAGTATTCTCAGGGCTTCTTGTATATTAAAAGTATTTTATTGGAGCGTGGTTAAATCTGGCTGTTAGTAGATGGGTGAAACAATAATTTTGTCTGTGTGGTTGGACTTTAATATATTCTTTTTGGCTGTTTTAGAAGTTTCTTGATATTCTTGTGTCTATTGTTAGTTGTAAAGAGGCAGGAAAAGGGTGCATTTGTTGAAGTTCAGCCACTACAGAAATAAATTAGAAGGCTAAGTGATTGAAAGCATCAAGTTTTTGGAGTATACATTTACATTTCAGAAAAAAAAACCCTCTCAATACTAGGATGAGACCTTTGATAATAAACTTTTAATAATTCAATTTAACTACATATCAACGATAGTTTGAGACCATTTGTAACAGAAAAAAATATTAACATTGCCATTTAATTGAAGAAGTGTATAAGAGAAAAATTAAACCTAAAGCAAACGAAATGGGAGGTTTTGTGGTTTTTTCTTTTAGATCTTGGATAATTAAGAATAAAATTGCACAGATTTATGCAATCAGGTCTTGTTTGGATCTCACTGAGGAAAATCTTACCAGCTTTCAAACAACTCATTTCCTTCCTATCCTGGGTTTAAGCAGTCCAGCTTAAATTTGAGTCATGACCCTGAATACCTCTGCAAAAATGCAGTGATGGAATATTTCATTCAAACTCCTTGAAGTTACTATGCATTTACTTCAGATCAAATGAGACCAAGATCTCTAATGATAATTAAAGTCCATTGATAATGGAAAGTTCATTAATAATATGATGTTGTGATTACACCAGCCATGGCAGTCTAGCCCTTAATATAACTAAAATGTGAGTCACAAAAGAAATGAAGCATGGCTCAGTTACATATTTTAATGTAAATTCTGCTTTATGTCTGCTCACTGGAAATACATTTTGGATCTGGAGTTTGTTAAAAGATGATCCTTGTCCACAACCATTTAGTCTAATGACAAATGAGCTCCAGAAATGGTAGTCACATATAGGGAAGAGGAGATGATAATTTGGTTTTAAAGTGCTTCCTTCTCTACAGTTATTTAATAATCTTTCAGACAACTCTCCATGTTTTCAGATTGCACATGAAATACGATCAACTCATCCTGTAACGTTTTCAATGGTAACATTTTAGATAAACTAAAATATTTTCTCTGTTAAAATCTTTCTCAATCCAATTTTCCTGCCCCTGTAATTATCTTCAAAAATCTTTATTCTGAAGGACTGCGCCCTTATACATATTTCACCCATTAACTATATTGTCTTTATCCTTGCTGACATTGTGGCTTCAGGCTGTGCTAAGGGCCTGCATAATCTTGTTTTCTGAGGCTTCTGCCTTCTCTGTGAATGACAGGAGGAAAGGGGAAGCCAGGTGATATCCAGAATTTCTTCGAAGATTAAAGCTCTAGAAAGTGTGCGGTAATCCAGCAGCTGTTACTTTGGTCCTGGAGCTGTGAAACTGTGCTGCTGTTGTGCCATCTGCCAGATAGCCCAGGAGGAGGGGAGGCTGCTCCTTTGCCAGGTGGTGTGATTAAGGTTGTCTCTGTGTTTGTGTTTGTATGCAGTGGGGAAAAAACTGATTGCACACTTTGTGCTTGGGCAATGCCATGTGCGATGTGTCAAGAGAATGTGGGTCACTTTACCTGCTTGCATCTGGACAAAGCACAGGGCGCAAATAAGAAAAGCAAAAGGCTGCACAGCTATTAACATACAAATAACATCTATGCTTCATGTGCAATTCACACAGAAATCACACACCATTCTAATTTTATACTGGCGGGTGGCCCAAGCATGATTAATTCACCACTGAGCTTTAAGGGACTTTTGGTTTGCTCAGCAGGCGTGATACAGACCACTACAACCCCAGGAAATATTCAGTCTCTGAGGGAGGCAAGAGGTCTTCATACAGGTCACCAAGCTTCAACCAACGAAGATCTGTGGTGATTTCTGTACCTATTAATGTCTTTTTTCTGTATTAATACAGAGAATAAATACAGAGAATAAATATTTTTTCTGTTTCACTAAAGTCTGTCAGCACACTCTGCCCATATGTGCAGTGACTTTGTTTTCTCGTGTAGGTGCAAATCTTTTGGGTTGAATCTGGCAGTAACTGTATACTCTGATTCATGCAATGAATGGGTACTTCAAAGAATGTAGGGTATCTTGTATGAAGGTGCGCTTATATAGGGCGTGCGATGCTCTTAAAAACTGGGGAGAGTTCATGCCCCCCAAAATTGCCATCTGGACAAGAGGTATTAACGTACTCAAGTTAGGAGCACATTCACAAAGAAAGAACTGACACCAGATTTAATTTTGAAAGTGTCTTTCACAGAAACCTTTATTTATCAGCAGGCAGAATATGTAGCTTCCACCAGGAACTCACCCAAGATGTACAGATTTGGTTTAATTTCTCAATAGTTCTTGAAGTTGCTAGTTTAAAGTTGCTGAGCCATGTCCATAAAGTTGTGATTATCAGTGGATTCTGCAGTTTGTATCATCAGCAGCACCTGCATACAGTAGACAGTGAACTGATTTCTACAAGGCAACAGAGATTAAAAGTCTGGGTTGTGGCAAGTGAAGGTGGGAAGTGTCCTCACATATCTGTAGGTTGACATGGGTAGGTGGCAGCTCTGTGTTGCTTTATTGCAAAAGCAAACAATAAAATAAGGCAAGGCCTAATTTGCAGGGTTTTGCTGGCCTAATTTGAAGTTTTTTTGCTTCTCTACCTGTTCTTAGGGGAACTGCCAGTGCTCTGTTCACACACTGAGTCACTGTTTTCCTATGTGCAGCCATACACTTGTACTGATGAATTGAGGTTTGACAGACCAGCTCCTCCTGCAGACAAGTACTCTTCTTACAGCCTATCAGGTGAGTAGGCTGGATCCTAACTTCCTCTTGCCATTTGCTGTCTGGCATCACTCAGGAAGGGGCAAAGAGCAGGATAAAATAGGAGGTCGTCCCCCTTTAGTGGTTGATAGTCTGAACAATCTGGCCTTACACTTAAGGAAACACAAGGTACTCAGTTGAATGCCATTTTGATGTTTCTGAATAGCGTCTCTCTGGAGATGAAATTGCAATCATCACCAGAGCTGCAGATTAGCAACTGGTAGAAAAAATAAGCATATCATTAAGCATGCACACTCCCTTGTTATCTCACTGCTTCTCATTTAATCCTTGTCTGCAAACAGAAGAAGGGAATCCCTGCACGGCTACACTGCTGGGTTTGCTTATAATCAGGTGTCAAAGCCTGACTTACTTAGACCTTTTGTTCGGCTGCAGTCCCTACTGGATTTTTTTCCCTAAGATTTGTGCTTTCACCCCTGTATAATAACATAACAAACAGCTCTTTGTCTCTTTAGGTTTGTTCATATAACTTGTATTAATATATTGACAATGTCATAAAAGAGGCATACAAAGAATCCTCTTGTCTTCCTCAGCTACAGCAAAAGCAGTGACAATTATTGCTGATGTGTAGCACAATCTGAGACTCCAGTGTAAAAGTAAAAAAAGTGCAATTTTGAAGCTCAGCTGTAGAAACACAATAAATATCAGTTTAGACTTATGAGGATTTGCTTCATGTTTAGTAAAGCCTTTTTTATTAGGGCATTTATCAGATGGTCTGGTGCTTAAAATGAATATTTTCAAAGGTATTTGAATACAGCAGTGATGACTTCTTGAAAAACTAAACAAAACCTAATTGACTTCCAGTAAGTTTTTTGCTGCTTGTAAAAATAGTATATTTCAATGTTTCACACACTCTTATTGAAAACATCCTGTTGATATTAAATGTGATTTTTTAACTTATTTTGTGTGTGGAGATTTCAGTCTGGATTCTAAGGACAGTTACATGCTTTAAAACTTCCAGAGTTGTATTGTGCTGCTAGCCAAAATTCAGGGTCCTTTCTTTACACTGCTGTAAGTAAGAAGAAAGAAATTAAGATAGAGCCACCTCCTAGTACTTTCTGCTCACAAGGAATGTAGGAACCTGTCTCCTTGGGAGGACATGAGTTTTCAGTGTAACACAAGATGTTCCTTCTACCATATGATGAAGAAACTTTCTCTTCTCTCCCCTTGTTGCTTTCAATCATATTCTAGCCTTGTCCAGGTTTTGCCTGAATCTTCCTTTCTCATATCTTTACTGTACTTCTCACTATAACACGTAAGTACATCTGCTTGATCATACTCAGTAAAGTTATCTTTCCAAATAGGTCAAATTTCTAAGTATATTCACATATGCCTTTCAGTTCTGGTGGTGTTGTACTCTTGTATTTTTGTCTGAGAAAATACTGTGGCTTCTCAGGAGGAACCTAAATCAGAGACTACTGTTAATATCAATTCCAATCTGCCACACTGTAGCACTTGGTAGGGAAAAGTTCTGTAAAACTGGCTAGAAAAGTGTCCATGTCGGGGAAAAAAGAAAAAAAAAAAAAAAAGACTTGACAGCTAGGCCTTCTAGGCCTTAATAAATCAAAGGCAGTAGTGTTGACATGTAATAGTTCATGTTCCCTTTTAATGAGGGAACCTGGAATTCAGTTGTTTGGAGCTCTGTTTCTGGTTCTGCTGTAGACTCACAACCCAGGACAGTTTCCACAAGCACTGAAAGACCTAAGTAGTATTTACTGGCATCTAAAACATATCGTGAAACACAGTCACAGCTTTGAAATGCTTTCAGATCCACAAACTGAACTTTTGTCCAAACAAGAATAAAAATGTAAGGAGTAAAAGTCAGTAAAATATTGATTTTACTGAAACCAGAGGGAAGATTTTCCTTGAACTTGTAGGGCTAAAACTTACCCCTTCATTGCTTTTACAGCTGAGGATGAGAACAGAATTTGGCCAATAATGGTGAGGTATGTGAAGAGCTTAAGGGAGTCAGCAGCCTTCAGGTTGGTTTGTTTGTTTCATGAGACGTTTTTGGGTTTTTTTTGGTCTTTGGATTTTTTTTTTTTCCTGAAACAAATTCTTTGAAACTTCATCTGGAAAGAGTTTCTCTCAATTGTCATTTGACATGAGTTCATTTAAGTAGCTTCAGCTGGAAAAAACCTACCAGGCGTAATCCACAAACCTTGTGAACCTTTGTGTTTTTATCTAATTGGCAAGATGTTTGGACCAAATGGAGGCGTTTGCAGCTGATGCTGCTCCATGAAGTAGAGTTGAATATCTGCTGGCTTAAGGTCCCATTGACCTGCCACATGCCATCAAGTGTCAGGACTTGATGCAACTTCCAAGATATAGTGAGAGTTTCTTCAATTGCTTTCACTGACATTGTAGCTTCCCAGGCAGCACTTAGATATTTCCTGAGCAAGATGAGTCTCCTATGTGAGCAGAAGTCGCATTCACTTTCTGAGACTGCAGGGAGCCCAGAAACTGGGATCCTGACAGCATTTTAAGGGAAAACACCTGTTATTTTTGATTAGTACGTCAGCCCTCAGAGCTCCACTTTATTTAATTCCTTTTGGCAACCAACAGAAATTGCAAAGTTAAAAAGAGGGGAAATCAACACAACATTTCTGCAAATCTATTGACTGATTAGCACGGGTAAATAAGTTGCAAAGTGAACTTGAGCTTCAGGGAGGACATGTTTGCCTCTTACACTTCATAATTCAAACTGAAAGTTGTGGTGCATAGGATTTTTTACTGAAGCAGAGATAAGAATTTAATCTTTATATTTTTAACAGCCTTTCTGAAAACAAGAACAGGTTGCCCAGATATGTCCTGGTGTCTCATTTCTTGGAGTTATTCAAAATGAGACTGGACATAGTCCTAAGCAACCTGCCTTAGCTGACCCTGTTAGACAATCTCCAGAAACCCCCTCCAATCCCAACTATTCTATGATTCAATGATCCCTAAGCACTGCTTGAAAAGGGAAAAAATGAAATTACAGTGGTTTAAAATAATGAAAACAAAGATCCTGAGTGTTTTTTTTTTTTTTTGACACGGCAATTACTGAAGCAAGAAAGTAGTTGGTGGGCCAGACTATGTAATATTTAATATTCCAAATATAGACTGACAGCCATTACCTGAGTCAGAGCTAGCCTGTGCTCTGCTAGTGTATATAGAAGGCTTCAGTGATGATTTCCTTACATCATAATGCCAAATAAGCCTCTCTATCAAACAGCTTCTTCAGACATGGTTTCTTGTTGTCATTAATAGTACGTATCTCTTAAGAGCCTAACCACATGAAGAATTTAATGCTCTCATTGAACCCAGAGCACACTCAGGTCACAAGTTCTTTTCAGCAGTTTTGTAATGTTTTAGCACATTGTTAATGCCCTGTTATTAATGATAACCTTGTGCTCTAAGTCCCAATATGATCTTGGATGGTTTGTTCAGCATTTGTAAAAACATAATAAATGGAAATGGATGCTTGGCAGGGAGAGCTCTGTCAACAATGCAGCGTTGACTTGTAACATCAAATAACATTTCCATTTCCTTAGAGAGGTTTTGGGGCTTGTTACTAGCAAGCTGTTCTTTTAAACTCTTTTTATTTCTCCTCCAGTTTTGTCAGTGAGAAAAGTTATCACAAAAGAATATGGGTTGTCATTTTTTATACTAGGTTTTATGCTTTGGTATAATGTTTCTATTATGTCTCATTTCAAATGTATGATTTGTTCCTTTAACATTCTGGGGGAAGATGCAGTCAGCTTGAAGGTAAAAAGTTATCACCAGGAAAATATAACTCATCAAAGGGTGTATGTGCCCACAAAATAAGTAATTCTTATTCATCTTATTCTGAAATTCATCTTTCTCAGCTCAAGTGTCAGAGGTTGGTTGCATGGCATTATATTGATCTTGGAGAGAAAAAAGTGACCATTTCAGCTCAAACTAGACATCTAATCAGGTTACAGAAAGCAATTTTGGAGATGATTCTTCCTCTCCAGTGACTAGCTTAGACATGGACATTAAGTGTGTTAAGTTGAATGGAGTAAACCCCACCCATGGAGACTAAAACAATAATTTTAACCACTCTCAGAATTTCATACCAAAACAAGATCCATCTTTTCATGATTGTTATCCCAATTATAGAATTTCAGAAAATTTTAAACTGGAAGGGGCTTCTGGATGTTCTCTGGTTCAATTAGCTGTTCTCACAGCAAGGCCAACACCAAAGTCAAATCAGGTTTTGTATAAAGACCAAGAGGGGTGTTATTAAGATAAACAAAATAACAGGTACTAACAGGAATTTCCTTCCCTTTCCCCTTTCTCTTCCTCTTCTTTTTTCCCCTTTCCCTTCTTCCTCCCCTTCCCTCTTGCCTCTTCCTTTTTTTCTTTTTGCTTTCTTTTTCCCTTTCCCTTTTCCTTTCCCCTTCCCTCTCTTTTTCTCTCCACTTCCCTTCCTTATGGATGTTTTGGTTAATTCTGTTCAGACTATCACAGTGCAAACTTGTTTTAAAAGATTGCAAAAGTTACAAAGAAGACAAAAATATTTCAATCTAGAAAACTAGAAGTAGGAAAGGGACAGCTAGGAAGAACGCACAAACCTGTCTATCTATGGGAGAAGTGGCTGGATGCAAGTGTGACCAGCACTACTGGTAGAATAAAAAAACTCAAACTGGCCAGGAGCAGAGATGATAAAGTGAAAGAACTCATCATTTCAAGAGGAGAGGAAAGGGAATGGGTGCAGCTGCAGTGCACTAAGAAATTACATACTTTCAGTCAGAACCCTATGCACAGTATGGCAAAAATTTTCGACTTTTTATGAGAAAAATGTCTGAGCAGTATACATCTACACTGTATCTGGTTTTGCTACTGTTGTTATTACAGATCTGAAAAAATCTCAGGCTTGAATCATTGCCTTGTTGTCCTAGGTGCTGTACCCATAGGACGTTAATGAGTGTTCTGGTAAGCTTACTAGCTAAGTGTAATACAAGAGACAACACAACTGAATAGAGGGAATTCTAAGAAAAAAAACCCACACCATTATACCAGGCAGTAGTTCCAACATACCAGAAAGTTGTCAGTTGCCCAAGTTTGTTTGATTTTTTAAGGCATCAGGAAAACAAAACAGGCAAAGGAAAAGAAAAGGCAAAGGAAAAGAAGAATTGAAGTTTAAGAATACAAATATCAAATATGAGGGAAAACATCAGAAAAAGCGAAGTTATTTTTCAGAATATAACAAGGGTGAGGTTCGTATCGCAAGCCAAGTAGAATGAGACTTAATTGCAAATAAGATTCAAGGTTAGGGATGCAGCAGAAAATGCACAAGAAATTAAGCCTCCTTTATGTTTGTTGCAATAAACAAGGAGAAGGTACTGAAGACATTCTGAAAGAGCAACGTCATGCTGAAAAAGGTAGGCTAACTAATACACAATATTGTATAATACTTTCACCTGTCTGAATGAAAACATCTGCACTTGAGAAATATTCAGTAGTTGTAGAAAGAAAAAGAATAAAATGCAATTGAAAATACTTGGTATATTGTTTTTAGTCTAGAAAGTACCTGGTATGCTGTCCTTTAATCAAATATATGTGATTATCTAATGTAAGGTTTGTTGGGATGCATGTTCATTGCTTTTATGGTCTGAAAAATTTGTTTTGTATTTTTTTTTTTAAATGACTAAAAGCAAACATAAGTCAGGTTTTACACTTCATATTGTACTGTGTGTTGAACAAGATGCTCTTAAGACTGAGATAGGCAACGGATGATATAAAGGGAAAAGGACAAACTGAGGAAATTTTACACCTCAAACTCTTAATGCTAGATTGTTTCAGTTGCTGCGAATGTGAACTCTGCTTTAGTAACAAGGACATCGGACATACATCAAACTAATCCATATATGCTCATTACATATCAGACCAGCATTTCCCTTGGAGATCTTTTGCTCAAACCTGAGTAAAGTTTAATATTCTTTGCTAGTGAAACTAAAATACATCCTAGCACCAAGCAACATAGTGACAGGCAGAAAAGGAGAGGTACTTAATCTGGTGCAGATATGTCATTAGCCTGATTATAGCCATGGAGTTTTTGGGATGATTTTCCAGGAATAGCAAATGTTAGAACTGGAAAAATAAAAATATTTGAAGTCCAATGACAAAATGCTCTAAACTTAGTCATAGGAGCACACAAGCATAAACAATGTCATAAATATGTACTTACTTTTTAATAAGACTTTGAGATTCTGAAATGGATGACAATCCTATATTGGGTAACTGCAATGCTAAAGTTTTGGTTCCTCCCCCAAAGATCCCAAGGAACGGAGCAACCATGCGTCATGCTAATGCTGTCTTCCTAAAGACAAAGCATTTTTACATTTCTATTCTGAGAAAGTTTAGAATTATATTCTGTGCTCTAGAAGCTTGGGGCTACAATGCTGGAAGGGAGGACAGCCAAAGCTAAACTGTTGTCCTGGGTTTAGCAGTAGCAGTCAGTTTTTCTCCTTCTTGGTAGCTGGTGGAGCACTGTGTTTTGACTTTCAGCCTGGGGACAGTGCTGATAACACCGATGTTTTCAGTTGTTGCTAAGTAATTTTTACCCTGACCAAGGACTTTGTGAGCCTTTTGCTCTGCCAGAGAGGAGGGGAAGCCGGGAGGAAGCAGAGACAGGACACCTGACCAACACTAACCAAAGAGGTATTCCATGCCACAGCACATCATGCCCAGGATGTAACTGGGAGTTACCTGGAAGGATGGGGGGTCTTCTGAGAGGACTCGTTTTTTGGGGGGTGGTATCGTATTCTCTTCCCTTGTTATTTTCTCTTATCACTATTGTCATTGGTAGTAGCGGTGGTGATTTGTGTTGTACATCAGTTGCTGGACTGTTCTTGTCTCAACCCGTGGGAGTTGCATTCTTTCAATTTTGCTCCCCATCCGTCCGGGCCCGGAGAAGCAGAGAGCCCCTGGGGGTGGGGGGGAGTAACATGCAGGCCTCCACTGCCTCCTGCCCGGCACCAGTGCACGAGCTGTCTGGCTGGGTTTAAACCACGAGAACTGTAAACAAAATAGGGGTGCAGACAAAGTAAAGCCCAAAGCCCGAGGAAAGGCAGCTGACAGTGAAGAGGGACTGTGGTGCCCAGAAACTGGGACAATATGGTGCAATGTCTGTATGGCAGAATGGGTGACCCACACCCCAGTGTTTTGGTCCTCCAGCAGAGCAGGAAGGCTTGCTCCCAGCTAAGGATGTTTCTCTTTGGAGGCATATGAGTGAAACTTATACTTCGTAGCTTGTAAATCTAAAGGGAGAGGCGAGATCTCTGAATTTAATGAGTTTGAGACCCAGGGAATGCATAAAAACAAAAACGTTGCCATTAAACAGCATCTTCAAAGATATAATTTTATCTGTTTCTTGGAGAATCAAGTATAAAGAATAAAGAAAGGAAGGATTCCATCCACACAGAAACATGCAATTGCATGGAGACTGGGTAGAATATTCTGCCTTAAATTATCAGTTGGAAAATCAGTTGAAGCGTATGGACTGAAATAGAGTTAGCCATTTAGCTTCTTTTTGGCATAGTAAAATTGTGATTTCCTATGGATAATGTCAGCTAGAAGGGTAATTATCTGAGTTAAATATCGTCTAATGGAAGCTTTCTGTAGGGTAAGAATACTGATGTGGGTATGAAAAGCTGGCTTCCTTTTCCCTATATGATTTCTTATGTTCTGCTCATTAATGATCCAGTCTTGCAGAGTGTACATACCCATCCCCCCATCCCATCTCTGCATCTCACAGCTTCAAGGAGACTTGAATACTACATCTAGATCTTGGAGTGACTTAATGATGAAAATAAGCTGAATGCTGGTATCCTATCTCTATTTTATTCTGGTTTCTAATGTTTACATTACTAGACAAACCCACTAAAAATAACATCAATATTTCTGTGCAGCTGGAGATGAAATTTAGCATTGGCTGGGCTTTGCATGTGCCAGGATGCTCTATGCTATCACTTTTGTAGAACTGCTACAAAGTGAGAGAGACTACACTAAACTATTTTTCATTCTTAAACCATTCCTGCTAAAGTAAGCAACAATCAAATGGTTATAATGATATTGACCTACTTGTGAAGTGCTTTGGGATATGTATTTTTATTCAAATGCTGTGTTGTTATTATTTTCATTCCAATTTAATTGCATTCTGTCATGTGCAAAACTTTTAAAACATCTATCTCCTCAGCGTAACATCTCCCCACTTTTTCTCTGCAGAAAAGCACTTGAATGTTGTAAAGGCAGAACAAAATTTTTTCAGTCACTTCTGAGTCAGAAAATAATAAAATGTACTCATGGTAAATCAAAGGTTCATTTTTTTCCTCATTGCTAAATCTAACTGTGATCATATGGATTGGAAAGAGAAAGAGAAAAATCTTGTGAAAATTGACTTGGGAATAATTCCCATTATGATGAAACACCTTTGCTTTAGCTCAGCAAGGGGAAACCAAGGTTATAGGTGCTCTATCACATCAGCTAAAATCCAAGTGGAATCTCTTCTATACACTTTCTGTGTCCTACATGATAATCAGAGTTAGCTGGTTTTCATTAATTAGGGGTTTGGGCAAGGACTGGAGTTTGCTCTTGGAACAATTTACACAAAAGACACAGTAAATTACTCATATTTATAATTCTCCAAGGCCCGAAGCCCTGTCTAAACATAGTTTGTGTTGCTTTAAATATGCAGGTTAATTTAAAGTAGTAAAACTAAATTCATATCCCGTCTTCCACTTTTCAAACTCAGCTATAATGATATAGAATGATTATATCAAGATACTTGATTCCAGTGCAGAAATGTGCAGAAAGGGAAATTGTCCTGGGTTTAGCAGTAGCAGTCATTTTTCTCTTTCTTGGTAGCTGGTGCAGTGCTGTGTTTTGACTTTTGGGCTGGGAACAGAGCTGGTAACAATGACGTTTTGGTTTGGCCAAGAACTTTGTGAGCCTCATGTTCTGCCAGGGAGGAAGGGAAGCTGGGAGGAAGCAGACAGGACACCTGACCAGCGCTAACCAAAGAGGTATTCCATACCACAGCACATCATGCCCAGAAGGTAACGGAGAGTTACCCGGAAGGACACGGGGTCTTCTAAGTCAGACTCGTTTTTCGGTGAATGGTATTGTATTCTCTTCCCTTGTTGTTTTCTCTTATCTTTGCTGTCGTTGGTGGTAGCGGTGGTGATTTGTGTTGTACATCGGTTGCTGGACTGCTCTTGTCTCAGCCCATGGGAGTTGCATTCTTTCAATTCTCATCCTCATCCCTCCGGGAGCAGGGAAGGGGGGAGCCCCGGGGGGGAACACGGGCCTCAACTGCTTCCAGGCTGGCACCACTCACTGGGAGTGAGTGCACAAGCTGTCTGACTGGGTTTAAATCACGACAGAAATGAACAGGCTATACTGGTATTATCATACATATAATGGCATGGTCCTACCTACACCAAAGGTTCAAATGGTCTGTGCATAATATGTAAAAATAAATCACATTCTTAACTGAAGCAGTTGAACAGATAGGAAAGCAGTTTTGATAGGAAATCTATTTTAGGCTTGACTTTCTTTTCCTGAATGCTACCCTTAGCAGCAGCAATGGACTGTAGAGGGGATCAAATACAGGACTGCTTCAATAGCATTGGTACTTCTGT